GACTTATTTGTCTGAATAATGTGAATAATCCTGCAGTTAAACCCAAATGAACCTGTTACTTAACTTGTAGTTAGCATGCTAACAGAAGCATCACAGATGTGACACCTGATATGTTTGAGCTGACATTTCCACAGCTCTGATGAACACAGCACACTCAGAGCTGAGCTTCACAGCAGGAAGCAGCTAATGAACGGTAAAAACTCAGCCTCTAAATCGCTCTGATCATCCTGCTGTCGTCGGGTTCGTCTGTGCACAAACAGACTGTGAGGCTGTTTGATGCTGAACACACAGCAGTGACTGTGTGCAGCTTTCTGAGGTCATCTTTCCTGAGCTGAGACCAGGACTGAAACCCGAGCTGGATGGACTCGTCCAACAGCAAACAGTTTAACCATTTGACTCATTCTTTGTGGTTAAAAAAAGGAAACTCGGGGACCTCTCTGCTCTGCCAGACTGCAGGAGCAAGGGCCAAATATGGAGGGTCGAAGGCTATGAGCCCATCTGACCTCCTGACATGGGTTGTGTGCTGAGTCCCCACAGCTTTTGCTTCCACTGGGAGGATTTCCTCCATCAGTCTAACTGGGAGCAGGCAGCAGCTAATGAAATGGTTCATATCCAGAGAGAGAATGAGGGAGGGCAGACAACTATATTAGGAGATGGAGGAGCTGCAGACTCAGAATAACCTGGTTTGTCAGCAGTCAGCTGGCTCAGTCACTTACAGTACAGCAGCTCTGTGAGCTCAACACGCTTCATTTTCTTCTTACTGCTGTGGAAAAGAAGCAGCTGGGAGGCGTTTCCTAAAGAGGCCTTGGTGGATGTGACTGCCTGCTGTGTAAAAGTCACAGCTCTACATGAGAGGGAACTCCACAGTCACAGTGTCGTTTATTTAGTCAGAGTGTGATCGTCACTCATTAAGTCTCTGAGAGCTTCAGGATGAGCACAACCACCAAACATCAGCGTTCGTCTAAGAACCGAGAACGTAGCATCACAGGATCTAAAAACTCGAGTTAATGTGAAAATTCACAAAACGTAAACAAACATGGAAGTCTTTCCTATTTCTGCTTCCATCCCAC